CCAACAATTCCATGTGGATTAAAGGGTCTGTGCTGGGCAGAACGGTCTGTGTGGGTTTCACTGCAGAGCCTGACGCGTGCACATAGAGCCCACCCCTCCCCTTTTTACACCTTCACTTTGAGTTTGGGCTCACACCACGTTTGCAAGATTTCCTTGGATACTTTTCAGCTTTTCCTTGTCTCTATGAGCTCTGCCTGGTAGCAAAAATATTTCTGAGCAGGTAAGTGATGGAATAGACATGACTCCTTACAGAGCATGTCTGTGTATGTGTGTATATATATATATATATATATTTACAGATGTGCATTTATGTATGTAAATTTGGCAATGCATAGAATAATTCTGGCCCACTTACAGATGGCTTTAATGTGGGAGCAGGCAGAGGGGGCACTGCCATGCAGCAGGAGTGTGGAAGGATACATGGACACACAGCTAACGAGAAGGGAAGGGAAGTGGCTGGAGGCTGAAGGGATGTAATGGGTCCCCAACGTGGCAAGCACATATGCTGCCACACAGCAAACACAAAGTGCCACCACCAGTGACAAGTGGATTGCACCTAAGGAAAACAGCTGTGCCCAGTGCCCAAACCCAGTCAGCCTCCCGACCCCGCGTGTCCCTGCTCTGATGGGGATTAAAGTGGTCGGGTCTGGGAGCTGCTCCGAGCTCGCCTTGCACAGCAATAATGGCTCAGGAAATCTCTGGAATACCCCTTGCACTGCTGCCTCTTTTGCATTTGCAATCTTGCATTTGTGGGATTGTTTTATTTTGTTTTATCTTAATTTATTCTGCTGCACTCAGCATGGCAGGAGCACTTTGATTATCTGTGTAGATCAGTGCAGTTCTGTGTTACAAACCGTCCCACATAACCCTGTTATTTGTTCATAATTTTTCTATTTTGAAGAAACATCCTTTGACACCTGAGCCAGATCTGCTTTTCTTAGGCATAAATATAATTGTCCCTGGTGAAGAGCATCTCCCTGGCTGGTCCCATCCCCTCTGTATATATTTGAATATATAAAATATTAATAAATGATGCCAAATGTTTAATCATATCCATTTGACTCTACGAGGCTCTGTATATGTAGGCTTTCCTGTTAACTGCCTCTGTGATATCTACATACTGCTGATTTGTTGTTGAGCTGGAGTTTTTAAAGCAAAATAAAACTGAGGTTTGCAGTTTGATTTGAATTAATCAGGTCTGATTAGACAGGAACACATCAGGCTGTTCTGGAAATCCCTGAATCTCTCTAATTCAATTTCATGTGTTATTCAAAAAGAAATAGTTCATAGCTTAAGCAAAAGTGCTATTTATTTAACACTGTTTTTTTCAGAGTGCTAAATCTTATGGAGGGGGGCATTGTGACGATGTTCAGGGTGTAGGAAAGAAAGCATTTTGTTTTATGAAAATACAGATATTTTAGAATGGAGTCACCTGCTGGTAGATCTCATAAATGTACATAAAAGGATGCTCCCTAATATTATTAGTTTGGTTTTTTTTCTTCCCATCACCCTGGCTGTCCATCTAGGAAGCTTTGATAGCTGGAGCCACAAAACCAGAAGACTGTATTTAGTTTAATAAGCCAATTTAAAGAGAAAGGTTGGAATTATGTATGGCAGAGGACAATTATGCAAACTAAATGATTCTTCAATTAATAATGAGACCCATGAAAGGCAAAGGAGACAGGATGCTCCTGCGAGCAGGAGAAGGCTCCTGGTCCCCGCCAGGGCGTGGAGGGCCGGGAGCGGGGCAGGGCAGCTCCCAGGCAGAGCCTGGAGGGGCTCTGCTGGTGGCATCTCTCGGGGAACCTGCAGTGGCAGTTCGGATAGGTTTCCCTGGGATGCTCCATCTCCCAGAGCTGTGTCAGGAGGCGGCCAGCGGGGCTGGGTCGCGGCCCCGTGAGGATGGTGCCGGGGAGGTGCAGCCCCAGCCCTCCCTTCCCTTCCTCGCCCTCCGGAGCCGCCGGCTCGGGCTCCTCCAGGAGCTCTGCTCCCTCTTCTCCGAGCCTGGCTGAGGCAGAGCCAGCCCTGAGTCAGGGATGGTGAAGAGCCAAGTTTGCAGCCTGCAGGAGCCGGGAGAAGGGCAAGGAGCGATTATCGGGAGTGATTGTTCGGGAGGGCAATAGTGGGAGGTGCTGGAAGTGACAGGGATTCGCTACGGGACGCAAATCACTTAAGGCAAAGCCATTAGGATCAATTTAAAATACCAAAGAGGGAGGCTAAAGTGACAATAGCATATTTAATTGAAATCACAAATATCATTCTGGCTTAAAAGACCAGGCAGAGTTACTCTATCTGAACACAGGAAAAACTTTTCATTTCTTAATAAAAAAAAACCAAAGCAAAGATCAAAATGGAACTATGTTTTTTTCCAAAAGTTCTTAAATCCCATCTATATATATATATTTCTAACGTTCTCTTTTCTCTTGACTTGATGGTCATAATATAAATGTAATTAACTACATTACTAATGCTTTTAATTTGCTTTTTAATAGAGCCTAGGGCTGAAGAATGGAATCAGCACATGTCCCATAAAAAGAAAAATACAGTTACAGGGACAATAAATAGCATGTCCAGACAAACACTTTTATCTGTCTGTTAGTTTTCTTTATTGAGCTGAGTAGCCCGTGTGTCCGTGTGCAGAGATTGGGGTTTTTAGAGACATTTTTCCAAAACTGAAGTCCACATGATGAGATTGTTACTGGTTTTGGCAGCAGCAATGTGAACTTGGTAAAAGAGCCTGGCACGGGAATCCACCGAGCCCTGACATATCCCATTTGCCCCGAACTCTTTGATTTCTGCTCACAGAATCTGACATGTGTTGGGCATTGACCTTGCTCTTTTAAATAAGCTTATTTTAGAAGACCTCTGCAGAACGCTGTGTGTTTGGCCTCGATGTAAGCTGTTAGGGAAATGTAGTACAAACACAGAAGTTGTATGTTTTGAATGCCAGAGATGTTAAGCAGCAGAGCAGTTGGTAAAAGCTGTACTTCTGACTGCTTTCTGGGCTCTCAACACGTGTCCTGAAAGAAAAGAAAAATTATTTATCCTGCTTTCCTGTGAAGGTTGTTATTAATTTATTTTTAGCAGGAAGTTCAGGACCAGACTGCTTTTTCAGTCCTACCTATTCCAACTTGGGCTCTCAGACAGTGGAGCAAAAGCAGGCTTTTTGAAAAGTGACTGCTGGGGAAGTCCTGGGTCAGGGTCCCACTGTCCTGCAGAATCACCCCTAGAAATGTTTCTGCAGAGAGATGCAGAAGTGATTTTTCCTTCTGGAGCAGCACCCTCACCCTGCATTTCAGGAAGGGCTGGAACCTTCAGCGGGGAGATCTGGTTTCCATTCATTACAGGGGAGCAGCTTGGGATCCAGCCCAAGGGCTGCAATCTTGCCAATGCCAGCAAGGAAACAAATCACTGGGCCCCAACATGGCAACACACGGGGAGAGGGATTGGAAGTGCCTTTAAGAAACAGGTACAAAAAATGTCCCTCGTTCTCTCCTCTCAAGCCACTGGAAAGCTACCAACCCCAGAAAGAGCAAAAGCAGAAGAAAACTTGGAAACATCTGGGATATTGATGTGGTGCCCACACTCCTGCAGCCTTGCCTTGGGCTTTGAGCTCTGGAGCCTGGAAATTCCATTAGCTGGACAACATGTTCCCAGAAAGGGTTGCTGAGTGCCTGAGGAAAAGGCAGTGATATTCTACAAAAAGGAAAGCAGGTATCCACTCACCAAAATAAATGTAAATTTCAATTTGTGGCCATGTTCAGCTCTTCAGGACAAAACCTGGCTCAGTGTAGAGCAAGGAAAGGCAGCTGAGCTGTGCCAGGACGTTGATAACCCTGTTCCACAGCTCTGAGCACTCAGCTCAGTTGGCTTCCCAAGCCCCCAGGATGGACATGGAGACCCACCTCTGACCTGGGGTGGAAGGCTGCGAGTGTTTCAGGGAGCATTTCCTTGGCTAAAGGACTCTGGAGTGGATTTCCCCCTCTCTCCACAAAGCCTCCTCCCCGATTCAGCAGCAGCACAGGGAAGCCCTCCTGGCCCATGAATAATTCATCTCCAGTGTGTGCAGGGGTTCAGAGCCTGACCCAGGCAGTTTTTTAGGGAAATAAGTGAGCATCCTGCCATCGGTGCCAGTGCTGTGGCTGCTCCATGGAGGATGGGCTGGAGCTGTGCCATCAGCCAGCGGGAGGGATGGCAGAGCTGCTGCCCCTCCTGCAAAGGGGCTGCCCGAGCCTCCCTGAACCGTCACTCACGGGCTCATTTTGCCAGGGAAGTGGCTTTTATTTGTTGTGAGTTCTTCACACAGAACAAAACCTAAATAATGTAACATATTCTGGGCTCTGGGCAGATAAAAATTGAAAGGGCCGGGGTGTTTGTGCAAGTGGAATGATAGTGACAAGCACCACATGGGGTCCCCAAGGAGGGTGTCGGGGGACTCGATCCCCATAAAATGATGAAAAACTCTGATGTAATGAGTTCTGTGAAACAATTTGAACATAAATGCTACTTTCTGTCCCATTAGCAAATGACTGCCATTGTACCAGGATTTTTTAATTTTTTTGACATGTGTTTTGAGCACACTGAGACCAAAAACTTGCATTGTGATAGTGCTGCAGGAAGATTTAAAGGTTGTGGTGGACTAAAAATTGAAATGCAAATCACACTTTCCCACAACCTCCTGCTGAGGCCCAAATTTTTATAGATCAGGTCATGCAGTCCTGATGAAGTATCAGTGATCTGCCTTTCCTGGGATTCACAAATTAGTTGCAGTCCAAGGTATCATTTCCTACAAAAGAACTGTAACTTACCAAGTGAAAGTTTGTCACTGAAGACAGTCTCCTGATCTTACATTAATTTTTCCAGCTGCAGTGCCACTAAGGATCCTTTCCCAGACAATGCAAACACACACATCACAGCTCCCCACTCTGCAACATGCTCTCACTGAATATAAACACACTGTATGTATTGATCCTCTCCCTCTTGCTTTTTTTCTTCCCCAGCGTGCAGGTGGTAAAACACTGACTGCCATGAACTTCATCAGGGAAAAAAAAAATAAATAAAGAGGAAAAAGCTGTGGTTTGGAAGCAGCTGGATGGCAAACTGCAGGCTGGGAATGTGGCTGCCAAAACCACCACAAGGAGAGTGGGGCACAGAGGCATTTGTGGAGCATTCTGTTTGCTAATTGCTCATGGAATTTCAGGTAAGGAACATCCAATGTGATTTGTTATAATAGGGAGTGACCTGGGTTTTGCTTTCCAGGGTGGCTTTTCCCCATCATTATTATTTTTATTGCTATCATTACAAATGCCCAGCTCTCTCTCTGGCTGGCAGCACAGTTCACAGAAGGGCTGTGGGGCAGCACAGGGCATTTTTAGCCATGCACATGCCAGGCAGTACCAGCACATATCTCCAGGCTCTGCTGTATCCCAGGGCAGGATCTGCTCCTGGCTAAGAGAGGATAGATCCCTGTCAATGCCTCACCTCTCCAAACACAGGAATCTGCTGGGGGTTCCAAAGTGCAGCTTGTGGCCTCAGTTTGTAACAGTTTGGAGCTGGATCTCTGTGCCCTGAACCGCTGAGGATTCCCAGGAACCATTCTGGCCACTCCTTTCCCTCCCAGCTATTTAGAGGCTCCTTCTACACAAAAAATGTGCTGGAAATTACCACCAGCAGCGCATCTCTGGTTTGCATCTGGTTGCCATCCTGCAACTTTAACCAGTCCTACAACTTTCTGCTAATTAGCTCCCAGCTAATGGTGATCCCAGCCAGTGCTGCAGCGTTCCGTGGGCATTAATGAGAATTAGCATTTGTTGAGGGCCATGGTGGGAGCTGCCTGTCTGCAGCATTTCAGGGGTCCCTGTTGCTGGAATGTTTGATTGCCTCCTCCAGTAATTAGCACTGACACTGAGCAAGTTTTTCAGAAGTCTCACTTGGCTGTGCAGAGACCAAAGACACACAGGGCTCTGTCTGTGGTGAGCAGAGGCCAATAATAATGTATTCCCTAATAATGATGTATTCCCCAATAATAATGTATTCCCCAAAAATGATGTATTCCCCAATAATAATGTATTTCCCTGCTTTTCTCCACTCCCCTGGCACAGGTAACAGTGCCAAGGATGGAGTCAGCGGCTGTGCTGCTACACTTTTCCCTGCTTTGTTGTTCTGCATGAAATGCTCTTTCACTACTTTTTTTAATGTGTAGAGGACAATTTAAACATTTTAACTTAAAGTCAATTGCCTCCTTGGTTTGGGAATATGATGGTAGTTAAAATGCTTCAGGAATTTGACACACCAGCAGTGAGTAACTCTGGTGGGCCCTTCCATGCCTGTTCAAAAGAGGGTGCATAATCAGAATTAAAGCCCAGGGAACACAGAGAAACACAGGCCCCTTGTAGCCCTTGAGGGGTACATGAGCACATGGCTGGTGCTTCTTTAGGAACACCACCAGCCTGTTTGGAAAAAGAGGCGCTGGGAATGTCGCGGTGTCCCTGGTCGGTTTCCCAAACGCGCTCGGCAGGGAGAGGCGCGCGCTGCACATCCCGCCCGCGGCTCCATCCCGGCCCGGCGCTGCTAAAGGAGATTTTTCCATGTGCTACTGTGCAGAGGAAGCTGCTCTCGCCCTCACCCTGAGGAAGATGAGCTATAGGAATATACAAGGGGCTTTTTTTATAGCTCGGGGCCCAGGAGGGGAAGCAGTGGTCATGAGCAGAGGCTGGAACTTGGCTTGTTAAGTAAATCTCAGACTGTAGCTGGTTTTAATTTATTTTTTGTTTTATGTGCAGGAGACTGGGCCTTGCAGGCCTGGCTAATATCAAAGCCTGGGGTTTTGTAGATTTTTAATCAAGGTCCACTTTGGGGGGTTCTGCTTTCGGGGCTTGCGGACGTGTAGGATTTTTTTTGTCATGTTTTTCATTTTTTCTTGCTGCAGTGTCTGGATTTCTTTAGTTCAACTTTTCCATTCTTCGGACTTGAGCCAAGTGAGCGATTTCAAATTACCCAGCACTTTCCAGAGATGGGGTTTTTTGGTTGTTGTTTGGGGTTTTTTTGGTTTGGGATATTTCTTTTCTTTTTCTGAAGCAGACTTGCAGTCCAGTTTCTCTGAAAATCACAGATGGCATTGCAATCCTACCCCATTGCCTCTCAATAATTTGGCATTCTTTGCACTGTCTGAATAGTTTATTGTTCATCAAATCTGTATGAAAGGAATTTTATATAAATTTTTTGTTTGTTTCGTCCCTCTGCTGGCAGGAAAAGTAAATCCCAAAGTATTTCAGCAGGTGCTATTAATATGCAAATAATGGAGAGTACACTGGGTCTAATAGACCTCCCAACTACATGGGAGGTGTCGCTGTTGGAGCAAATTAGCTTTCTGTAATTTGCATGCTTTTCACAGCCTCCTGGGATTATATTTTAGATCAGAGACAATAAAAGCATATGCTGTTAGTTTTAAATGTAACTAATTTTAGACTTTGAAACCATTTTAACCTAACTTCTTAGTGTTAAACTGTTATTTGCACAGAAACTTTCCACAGAGCTTCTAATTTGCACAGCCTTTCTGTTCACCCATCAACCGCTCCATCTCTCTTTCCAGGTTGAAAGAGAAGAAGGGAATCTACCAGGTGGCTGCATCTTGAAAAACAGGTATTTCTCACCAAATCCAGATTGTCCTACCCTGGGTCTGAGCCTGCATTCAGGTCCTGATGGGGTCTAATTGAGCTTTTTATGTCAAACTTCTTCCCTCCCATTTGGCATCTCTGTATGGTGTAAATCCATCCCAGAAGGATGCTGTGGCTCCTGCTGGCTGCTCACAGAGGGAAGAGGCTGCTCCTACCATCAGAAAATCTTCTTTGCTCACCCAGCAAAGCAGAGTCCCTGAGCTGCTGTGGCACTAACGCCCAGTGTGGCTGTGCCTGGTGAGAGTCTGTTGGGAAGCTCTGTTTGGAACAAATGGGAAGAAGAGCAGGGATTTCACAGCAGGCTCAGTCTGTAGAGTCACACATTACTGACTTGTACTGGCACATTATCCATGGCACTTCCCAATTGGTATTGAGAGCAGAAATTCCACTGTTGATGCCTGTGCTTTGGGACAGTGGGAATGATGGGGCCTATGGAGATGTGTTCCAGGTGCAGCCATGGCTGCTTTGTGTTGGAATGGCCAGGGGTGACACAGGGCAGCCACTGCAGCCCTGCCCCTTGTCCCCACCCTGCCCATGTGGAGCTGGCAGAACCCAATTTCTGCTGCATGGAAGGAGGAGCTGCAGACAGAGCTGTCTCTGGGGAAGGAGCAGAGGCAGCCCCTGTGTTTTGTCCCAGTGCCCAAGGGTGAGATTTGGGAGTTCCCTGTGGCACAGCTGCTCCATTGCCCATAGACCTCTGTGCAGGGTGTCCACATCACTGGGGCTTGTGGGGTGGTGGCCATCCTTTACTTCAGAGTTCAGGGGTGGGATCAGATGTGTGGAGGAGATGGCAGCCCGCTGGAGATCAAATTAATGTTATCAAATTTATTTCTGCCACAGGAAAGGTGAGTGTGGCATGAGAGAGTGATTCTTAGAAGGGTCCTTTGAGACAAGAAACTCTTGGGATGCAGCTTTGGCCCTGCAGCAATGTGTGGTGAGACTCATCTGAATTTTTGGGGCCACAGCTTTGCCATGGATATTTTATAGGTGTGTTTCACACAAACAAAGTATAGAAGCAGTCTGTTTCCTAAGGAGTGCTCTTAAAGCTGGAAAATGCTGGGTGCTAATTTTTTTCTCTCATCTCACCCTAAATGTTTTCTAGCATTAGTACCAGTGACCTCCCACTTCTGCTGCTTTTTATTAATGGGATATTTTTATTAATGGCTTGCCTGTTATAAGCCTGGGCACTGGAGTTGGAAGCACTTGCTTTATTTAAAAAATGAAAACAAAAAGAAAGAAAAAAGGGCTCTGATTACTCAGGTGTCGACAGAAAAAAACTGCGATGTTGTGCCAGATGGCTGCATTTGTGAAGCAGAGTGTAGTCAGAAGGAAAGTGGAAGGAGACAAGGCAAGTGTACATCAGGAGTGTGAAAACATGACCAAAATACCTTCAGCCTTGTTTCACCAACACTGGATTAGGAGGCAACTGTGGTGAGATGCAAGCAAAGAAAAGCAGAAGGGGACACTGTTTGGAAAACAAAAATGTCTTTCACAAAAGCTTTGAATGAACAGAAATCAGGAGATTTTGCATTAAATGGGCCGGTGCCTCGGAGCGCTGTGCCAAGTGCCACACGCGACAGTGATGGCAGCAGGTTGTGTCGGGCCCGGGGTGCTCCAGGGTGCACGGGAGCAGGAGGTGCTGCTGCCAGGCACTGCCGAGTGCCCGCTGTGCCCGGGGCTCCAAGGCTGCCCAGCGCCTGCCAGGGCTCCATGGAAGGGTTTCCCAGGATGTGGGAGCTGTGCTGGCTCCTCCCTCTGCCCGTGCCCAGGTGGCACCCGGGAGCCCTCGTGGCTGGGGTCTGGGTTATGTGCACCCCAAAGTGACACCAGCACTGGCTGGTTTGTGCCTCAGGCTCTTTGGACTCGTTCCCCACCTCCTGCAGAAGCTTCACTCAACTTCTGCTGCCAGGCCAAAGTCCGTGCCAAGCTTGTAAAAGCCGAGCCCTTGGCAGGCCCGTGGGCAGGGGCCTTGTTACCCTTTTATATCCTCAAACAGAGCCTGGGCACTTTCAACTTTGCTTCCATCCTGACACTTCTGGCTGTCACACAGGGAAAAGTTTAGAATAGTTTGATCTCAGCTCACAAATCCAAATTTTATTTTTTTTCCGTGCCTAAGCATGGCTGGCTCTGCCCAGACTGCTTTGGGGTTCTACCCTCTCTCCTCCTCTGTGGTGTCTCAGGGGAAGAGAAGGCTTTGACATGGGCACAGAGGGGCCACTCTGAAGGTGTGACCTCTTGTCTCTTAGCCTCGGTTGTCTCTTGGTTTGGTGGTGCTTGGGTTTTGTCACCAGAGTCTGAAATCCTGGTGTCCTTAGGCTGCATTTGATTAGAACACGGCCAGGGAAATCCGTGGTAATTTTCACCTAAACCATTTCCACACATCTGTCTCATCTCCCCAACCCCAAAACTACTTCCCCCTGTTCACAGGTACTTTCTAGCAATGAATTTCATCCAAAGATACTGAAGGTAGTTTATGTTTCCAGCAGCAGGTACAGAGAAAGTGGCAGGAACATGGATCTTCCTCTGATCCCTGCTCTGGTACAGCTAAAGCTTGAATGTGAGTTTCATTCTTTTATTTTTATAAAATCTGAATTTCTACACTAACTTCGGATCAAAAGTTTATTCTCCACACCAGGAAGATGTTTTGGTTTTTTTTATTTGCTACAAACTCCATTGTCTTATTTGGGAAGTATGTTCACAATTGAGAAAGAATTGCCTTTATTAACAAATCAAAAGCCTGTGCTGTCAAAACTGAAATCATTCTACCTTTTTATGTGCAAATTAGAGCTTCTGTCAAACCTTCAGCCATGGTGCATTTAATTTGTGGAAATATAAAAATATCTGGCTTAATATTCAAATATTCTGCATGAGGAAGGAAATACTTGAAGTGATGCATTGCAGTCAAGATTCTAGAAAAATCAGATTTGAAAAAAATAAAGTAGTGCTTTAACAAAATTTATTTTCCCTACTTTTGCCAGAGTTCAGAGCAGTCCTTAGAAAAGTGTTGAAGTTATACAGGTGTCTGAATATCTGGTTGGATCATGGCCTTTGGGAGTGAACCAAGCTAAATCTAAGTGTGTCCAGGGCAGGGGAGCTACATCCGCTAGGTTTTTCCTTAGGAAAGGGTCACAAGATGTTTATTTTTTTAATTAATGGCAAAGGTACTGAGAAACTTTTCAGTCAATTCATTGAAATTGGGGTTAAACAAAAAAAAAAAAAAAAACAAACACAACAATTGGTTCCAGCATGGTAACTTGTGTTTTGGAAGGTGTTTGTAGAGAGGGTAAAATTCTGATTATCTGAAGCTGGGCCCTGGTTCTATATTTAGGTTTCCAAATGAAGAGCTGTGTGCCCAGCAAGGTGAGGCACTGATGGATTGAACCTGAGCTCCTTCCAGCACAAACAGCTTGGGTTTGAGCCTGAGGCAGCCCACACTCACCCTGAGCCTGGAGCTGCTGCTTTCCTTCTGCTCTTTGAAGCAGCTTCTCCTGCTGGGCCTGGTTCTATTGGGAGGACAAGGAAAACCCTGCAGAACCACCTGCAAAAACCCTTTTCAGTGTGCTCAGTGTCTTTAGCTGCATTTTGGCTGATTAGGGTTTTTCCTAGCATCCCAGGAGGCTGCTTCCTGTTGAATTCCCAGCTCTCCTGTGACCCAGGAGCCTTTCCCATGGCTCTTCCACAGGAGGGGTCTGTCCAGGCAGGCTGTGTTTGCCTATCATATTTTCCAATCACATATGAGAATACCTCGTCCTGTTTTGGGGAGCTTTTAATGGGATGGGAAATAATTTAATCATTATTTCCAAGGCCTGAACCAGGAACTTTTGCTCTTCTGCAGAGCTGAGAGGAGAGGAAAGGAAGTGGCTGTTCCTTGAGGAACAGCTTCAGTTCCTGAAGTGCCAGTACCATTATCCCACAGAACAGGCCCCTGGAGCAGTGCATTAGTGATTCCTGTGGCCAGGCTGGGATGTGCCCATGGAACCCCAGTGCAGGTTTTGTTTCCAGCCACCTGGCTCCAGCAGAAGAGCCCTTCCCACCACACCAGTTGGGTCACAACCACCCACTTGTGTGCAGAAGGTGCAGAAAATAGCCCATCAATTGCTGTCAACTCTCAAAAGCTCCTTTTAGGGGTGAATTATTGTCTGCAGGCATCCAGAACGCTTGGTCCCCTACAACTTTATTGCTAATGTTGTCAGCAATGCAGAATTCCAGCATCCAGGGTTTTACATGCAGTTCTTCTGCCTCATCTCTCCAAGGGGGCTCCTACAGGCTGAACGTGCAGTGCACTGCATGTGAAGGTGTTTATTAGCCCATTACCCATAATTAATGGCAAGGCAGCTACTGAGGCTGTGGGCTGTCCCAGGCAAAGCCTGCACGTTCTCTTTTCATACCCATGCCCCAGCATGAATTATATCATGTTCATATTCAGCCTCTCACCATCAGAGACCAACAAAGTGGTTTGGGTTGGGATCTCCTCTTTCAGGCCATAAACATATGATCCAGCCACCCCATAAAGTACATTCCTCCAGCTTTCCATGCACTCTCAGGCATAGCTGTGGCACACAGTGGGGTTTGAGTCTGGTCCCTGCAGCTGGAGAAATCCTGCCCAGCACAGCTCTAAGGCACAGTGTGAAACAGGCACTGGAGCTTCACTGGTGAGTTTTGCCTTTGCTGCAGTCACAACTTCCATGATTTTGCTAAAATAGTGGACACTGTGCTGTCCCCCTGCTTCCATGCAGGGATTCAGGGACAAAGCTCTCTGAATGGCACAGTTTGCTGTGGTGGGAGTGCAGGATGGAGGTGAGGGCACTGCTGGGCCAGGCACCTCCCTGGCAACTGCTCCCCTGCCAGGAGTGCTGCAGCCCCATGCACTTGATCCTTTAATTGGCCCATGTGCAGGCTGGACAGCTCTCTCTTTATTATTGTTATTATTATGCAATCAGACACTACTTACCTTCAGAATGTGCT